TAGCTCACTGCAGTCTCGAACTCCTGGGCGCAAGCAGTTCTTCAACTCCACCTACCCAAGTATCTGGTACTACAGGCGTGTGCCAGAACGTCCAGCTAAGTTTTTGAAATTAATTTTTTGTAGAAACAGGGTTTTGCTATGTTGCCCACGCTGGATTCGAACTCATGGCCGTACACGATTCTTCTGGACTCTCAAAACATTGAGATTTTAAGCGTGAGCCACTGCACTTGGCCTCACGTTTTGTTTATCCATTTGTACATTGATGGACACTTAAGATGATTCCATGCCTTTGTTATTGTGAATAGTGCTTCAATAAATATGTGAATGTACATATCTTTTTGATGTATTGGTTTATTTTCCTTTCAATAAATACCCAGTAGTAGGATTGCTGGATCATAAGATAATTCTATTTTTTATTTTTTCAGGAATCTCCATATTGTTTTCCATAGTGGCTGTACAAATTTACAATCTCACCAATAGTATATAAGAGTTCCCTTTTCTTCACATCCTTACCAGTATTTATTATTTTTTGTCTAAAAATGGCCATTCTAACTGGGGGTAAGAACTGATATCTCATTGTGGTCTTTTTGTGCATTTCCATGATAATTAGTGATGAGCAGTTTTTCCTCTACCTGTTTCCCATTTATATGTTGTCTTTTGAGAAATGTCTGTTCATGTCTTTTGCCCACTTTTTAGTGTGATTATTTGTTTTTTGCTGGTAAGTTGAGTTCCTTGTATATTCTGGAAATTAGTACCTTTACAGATATATAGTTTGTAGATATTTTCTTCCATTCAACAGGTTGTCTCTTCACTTCATTGTTTTCTTTGCTGTATACAAACTTTTTAGTTTAATATAGTCCTACTTATCTATTTTTATTTTTATTGTCTGTGCTTTTGAGTTCTTAGCCATTAAACCTTTGCCTAGACTAATGTCCCAAAGAGTTTTCCAGATGTTTTTTTCTAGTAATTTTGTAGTTGTAGATCTTACATTTAAGTTTTTAATTCATCTTGATTTGATTTTTGTATGTGGTGAGAGGCAGAGGTCCAGCTTCATTCTCCTGCATGTGAATATTCAGTTTTCCCAGCACCATTTATTGAAGAAGATATCTTTTTTTCAATGTATATTCTTGGCACCTTTGTAAAATAAAGTCAGTTAGCTATAGATGTGTGGATTTATTTCTGGGTTCTCTATTCTGTTCCATTATTCTATGAGCCTGTTTTTATAACAATACTATGCTGTTTTGGTTACTATAACCTTATATTTTGAAGTCAGGTAGTATGATGCTGCCAGCTTTGTTGTTTCTGCTCAGGTTGTGTTAGCTATTTGGGGTCTTTTTTGGTTCCATAATAATTTTAGGATATTTTTTTCTATTTCTGTGAAAAATTATATATCTTGATAGGGATCATATTGAATTTTTAGATTGCTTTGGGCAGTATAGTCATTTTAACAATAATAATTCTTACAGTCTGTGAGCATGGGATGCCTTTCCCTTTGTATCCTCTTCGATGCCTTTTATCTGTGTTTTGTAGTTTTCCTTGTAGAGATCTTTAACCTCCTCAGTTAAATCTGTTCCTAGGTATTTTATTTATTTATTTATTTAGTCATTGTAAATGGGATTGCCTTCTTGATTTCTTTCTCAGTTCTTTTATTACTGTATAGAAATGTTTATTTTTGTATGTTGATTTTGTATCCTGCAACTGTACTGCATTTATCAGATCTAAGAGTTTTCGGTGAAGTCTTTAGCGATTTTTTTTTTAACATATAAAATCATATCTTTAGCAAAGAGGGACAATTTGACTTCCTCTTTTCCAGTTTGGATGCCTTTTTTTCTTTCTTTTGCCTGGTTGCAAGTTAATGAAATTGAAAACTTGGTTCTCTCTGAGCCAGATGAAAACTTGGTTCTTCAATGAAATGAAAACTAGGACTTCCAGCACTGTGTTGAATAGAAGTGGTGAAAATAGGTATCCTTCTCTTAGATCCAGTTCTTAGAAGAAAGGTTTTCAGCTTTTCCCCATTCAATAGAATATTAGCTATAGGCTTGTCATGTGTGACCTTTACTGTGTTAACATGTTCCTTCTTTGCCTAGTTTGTTGAGAGTTTTATTGATTTGCATGTGTCTTGCATGTGATGTCCTTGCATCCCTGGTCGAAATCCCACTTGGTCATTGTGTACTAATTTTTTGATGTGGTGTTGGATTTGGTTTGCTAATATTTTGTTGAGAATTTTTGTGTCTATATTTATCAAGGATATTGGCCTGTGGTTTTCTTCTTGTTACGTTCTTGTCTGGTTTTGGTATCAGGGTAATGCTGGCCTTGTAGAATGAGTTAGGGAAAATTTTCTCCTCTTCAAATTTTTTTGAATAGTTTCAGGAGGATTGGCATTAATTCTCCTTGATATGTTTGGTGGCATTTAGTTTTGAATCCATCCAATCTTGGGCTTTTCTTTGTTGGAGACTTTTTATTATGATTCAGTCTTACTGCTTGTTATTGGTCTGTTCAGATTTTCTATTTCTTCCTGGCTCGATCTTGATAAAGCCATGTCTCCAAGAATGTATTCATTTCCTCTAGGTTCTCCAGTTTGTCAATGTATAGTTGTTCATAATAGTATCTGATATTTTGTATTTTGTGGTATCAGTTGTAATGTCTCTTTTATCATTTCTGATTTTGTTTGGGTCTTCTCTCTTTTTTTCTTGGTTAGTCTAGCAATTGGTTTATCAATTTTGTTTATCTTTTCAAAAAACCAAGTTTTCATTTTATTGTTTTTTAGTCTCTGTTTAGTTCTGCTCTGATTTTTCTTATTTCTTTCTTTCTCCTAATATTGGAGTTGATTTGTTGTTCTTTCTCTATTTCCTTAAGATGCAAATGATTGTTTATTTGAAATCTTTTTACTTTTTTGATGTAATCTTTATTGCCGTAAACTTCCCTGTTAGCACTGATTTTGTTGTGTCTAATAAGCTTTGCTACACTGTTTCCATTTCTATTTTTTCAAGAATTTTTTCATTTCATCCTTAATTTCTCCCTTGACCTAATGGTCATTCAGAAGCATGTTGTTTAATTTCGATTTATTTGTACAGTTTCCAAAGTTTCTGTTGTTATTAATTTCTAGTTTAATTTCAATATGGTTTAAGAAGATACTTTATGCAGTTTTTGACTTTTTCAAATTTATTGCGACTTGTTTGGTATCCTAACATGTATTCTATTCTGGAGATTGTTTCATGTGCTGTTGAGAAAATTCTGTAGCTATGGGGTGAACTCTTCTGTTTGTGTAGGTCCATTTGGTCTAATATGCAGTTTAAATCCAGTGTTTCTTTATTAACTTTTTGTTCAAATGAGCCAGTTTAAATCCGATGTTTCTTTATTAACGTTTTGTTCAAATGAGCTAATGCTGACAGTGGGATGTTGAAGTTCTGAACAATTATTGTATTGGAGTCTATCCCTTTACATCTGGCAAAATTTGCTTTATATGGTTAGGTGCTCCAGGATTGGGTGCCTACGTGTTTGGAATTGTTATATCCTCTTGCTGAATTGATCTCTATCAATTATGTACTGACCTTGTTTGTCTCTTTTTACTGTTTTTGACCTAACCTCTGTTTTATCTGATATAAATGTAGCTAATCCTGTTTGTTTGGTTTGTGTTAGCATGGAGTATCTTTGTTATCTCTTTACTTTCAGTCACAATGTGTTTTTACAGATGAGATGAGTTTCTTGAAAGAAACATATAGTTGGATTGTGGTTTTTTTCATCCATTCAGCCAGTATACACCTTTTAAGAAGAAAGTTTAATCTGTTTACATTTAGGGTTATTGTTAATAGGTGAGGGATTGTTCCTGTCATTTTATTAATTGATTTCTGTTTGTTTTGTTCTCTTTGTTCTCTTATTATTGTGATGTGGAGCTTTTCTGCCATAACATTTTAATCTTTTCTTCTTTGTGTGTTTGATCTACCAGTGTTTTTTTGTTTGTTTGTTTTTTTGTTTT